CTCTGTTGGCTTTATTTTTGTGGCACGCAGCCATTTTGTAAATCATACTTAAAATGTTGGGGAAAACCCGAGGCAGGGGAGCAGGAAAATGGTGGAATTTTTGTTGCTGCTTGTTTATTTGGTGAGTGTTTAATTGGTTTAAATTACACACACCCACAGACCCACACACACGGGCATTTTCGCGCGGAAAATGGGAAAGGCGAGGTCGCGTGAAAACTCGAATGGCAATGGCCAGGGCGTGAAATCAACATTTTTAATTGTTTACTTCTCACTGATTACACGTTTAATAATAAAAATAAATAAAATTCAATGAACTCCGCCTCCTGCCACTATATAGTAAAGGGATTTTATTGCATTTTATTGTTAAATCATTTCTCATTGTCGCCCCAAATGTTTATCCTTTTTTTTGTTGAGATTCTCTTTTTTTTTGTATTTACTAAAGGCAGTATTTTTGTTACTTAATTATTGTTTGTTTGACCTGCCACGCCCGTCCGCCTCCAGAGCACTTGATTAAGGTGGTTTTAATTACAATTGCAAATATGTATATCAAATACAGGGGATATTGTAAATTGTCTATATTTGCGAATTTGTGTGGCAAATAAATTGCTTTCTATATATATCTGTATATATATGTATATATATATATAATATATAGCTATATATATATGGGTCCGTGTAAATTCCCATTGCCCAAGGATAACTATTCAGCGACAAAATGTGGTCCATTAATTATATTATTTGCGCATTGTCTGGCCATCAAACACACATTGTTTATGGTACGTAAGAAAATGCTGCAGGGTATTTTAAGTTTTTATATGATTTTAAAATTAAATTAAGAGTTTAACTAGAGCACAAAAAAAAGAGTAAAAAACAGAATTGATTAGATTGATGTATTAGAAAATTAAAATAGATTTAAATTACATTTTTGCAGATACTTTTGGGGCATTGAAAATGTGTAGAAAAAAATACAAAAAAACTAAATTAATATAAATAGTTCCTTGGGAATAACCAGAATTAAATTTAATATAAATAAAAGAGTAAGGAGTTAATAAGAGAGTGAAGAGTTTTAGCTAAATATAAAACATTAATTTAACTGATTTAAATTCCCCTTTTTTACCCTCGTAGCTGATTATAATATGAGTCAAACAGGCAGAAAAAATTACCTGATTCTTTGAAAATTTTATAAAAGGTTTTATCTTTAAATTTTTCAACAATTTAAATGTTGTTTTCCATTTTAAATTGAGTATGCAGCTTTTTTAATACAATAAAACACTCAGAAAAGCTTTCTAATTTACAAAAAAGAAATCTTGGCTTAGTTATGAGTTTTTAATGCTTTGATTTATCGAAAAATTGTCCTATAATATATCGATACATAAAGAATGGTAATATATTGAGCTTAGTTATGATCGATTTCCAACGCGACTCTATAATTCTGTTCATCTTTAAGTTAGTTCATATTAACATCTATTCGCAGTTCTCCATTTATCAAAATAAAATAATAAAATTTTACATTATCAAAAAAATTAAAAATAACTGATTTAGTATTCTTAAAGTTTAAATTTAAAATGCAGATTTATTAACCTAATAAAAACTTTCTTAGCAAAGCTTTTCAAATTAAAATTAATGTTTTTCTTTTGTCTTGTCGAAAAAAAATTTAATATAAGAATTTTACTAAATATCGATTCAAAGAAGACGAAATTTTTTAGCTTCGTTATGATCGATTTTTCTGATTTTTTCTTATATTTAATTGCAAACTGCAAGAGTCTATAAAATTCAGCTTCCTAAAGTTAGGAAATTAACTTTTTGTTTATATCGTTTAAGTATCTTATTTAAATTGTTCAAAATAATTTGTATTAATAAATCAATTACTGGTTCATAGATATAGATATAAAATGTTAACAGATAAAAGAAAATCAGGTATTGCTTCATTAAAAAATGCATTTTAATTATTTCAGCATACTTTTGGGGCTTAAATATTAAATAAGCTTAAAATTCTATTTCCCAATTTATAACACAATTTTTAAGAAGACTAATTTAAGTTGTACAATTATGTTTAATTTACCTACGATTTTTTTAAAGCTTTTCTATGAATATTTTAGACTTGATCATATTTAAAACTACTTTATCTTAATTTCAATATATGTAATATATTTTCTTACATATTGAGCTTTTATTAATTACTGAGTTGTATAATAAGTTTATTTAATAATAAATAAAAGAGTACTAAAAATTCACAAAAAGTACCCATAAGATCTGCAAACCCAGTCCCCTTCATGGGTGTTTAAAATAAAAATAAATAAAAAACCCCGAAAAGTAATAAACAAACCCAATCTCATCGCAGTTGACATTCAATCCAAACACTCAAACCATCCATTAGCAGGCCAAACCCAAAAGACCGAACCCAAAAAACAACAAGAAAACCAGTGAGAATCCCTTGAAGATTTGTGTATTAATAAATCTCAAAATAAACACTAAAATTGTGTGGGGACTGAACAAATTAAAACTAAGCAGAGACGGCGAACAAAAACCGAATCAAAAAATCTCTATCTGTGTGGTTATGACCTCTCTGGCTCTGTCTCTGGTGACATAAATTGATAAAGTCATTTGAGTAAACATTTGAGAACCGAATGGCAACGAAATCGAAATCGAAGGCGATTCGAACTCGGACTCAGACTCGAACTCGGATTGGAAACTATTTATTTATTAAAATCAATTTTTACACAAATTAATAGAGCAAAGGCCAGTCGCGTTTACTTTGTCAATTTGCGATTTATATGCGCGATAATATTGTATTTTATTTCATCTGTCAGTTTAATTATATATTTATATATATTTTTGTACATTTATTTAGTGCTTGATCCTCTGCGGAAAGGCACGGGATGTACAGAGACATAAATTGGAAATAAACAAATAAGCCGCCGCTGTCGCTTTAATGTAGATATATACGCGTTGCCCTGATTGTATAATATTGTATAATTGCTTCGCCGATTCCCGGTAATGATGACATCACAGTCTCGTCTCTCTCATATACAAAAAAAAAAACAGGCTCGGCCAGGGGAACAAAAAAATAATAAAAAACAACACTTTACAACAGCGACAAAACACTTAATCTCAACGAGTGCGAAAATCAAATGAGAGCAGGTAAACCTTAGTTGAGAGACAATCGTGAAAAATCTTTTGTAGTTAAACGGGGTTTAATTGGGGTTTTTATCGAGTTATTTGTAGATTTAATTTAAAGTAAAACCTGAAGACAATTAATTATATTTTTACTTTGAGTTTGTTAGCTTTAAAATTTAAAGGAAATTTATGATTAAGCGGGTGTTTTTAGTCACTTGATCTTTTGCTATAATTTTTACCTGATAAGGCGCAGTATATATATATATTTATATATATTTTTATTTGTATTTTAATATATATTTTATAAGCTTTTAGAAAAAGTATTAGTTTTGACAACAATTACAACTAAGAATCAATAAATTGTAATTTTCATTTGAAAAGCTAAGCTCAAATCAAAGGTAATTACAATTGTTACAAACACTTTTTAAAGATATTACAGATTATAGGAGTTAAATTTTAAAATAACTAAAAAACTAAATTTAAATTAAAATTTTAAAATAACTGAAAAACTAAATATGCGAATTTTTGCATTAATAAATTAGTAACATGACTTTATATATGACTAATAGTACTAATAATCATTTAATCATCTTTAACTACCTCTTTTAAGAGCTAAGTAAATATGTATGTTGATCTAAACTGAAAGTTTACCGATCTCAAGTGATCTTCAATAAATGATTCCTTTTCCATAAAGAATAGTTATTAATTTTTATTGAGTAAATGTGAATGTTGTTTACATTTTGTTAAAGGGCTTACTAGCTTTATGCATACATTCATATATAGAATTCAGTTATTAAGAAAGGTCAATATTATTAATATCATAGTTTTTTTAAAGTCAACCCTCGCTTAGCAGCTTCTACAAATATTTTTGTTTTTAGTTAGGCAAGCCTACACGTGAAAAAAAATAGCTAAGAGAAAGAAAAACATTTATTTTTGTTTAGGTAAAGAATTACGTAATATTTTAGAAAAGTGTAATATATTTTAATATATAAAAATAAAGGGATACTATTATTTTGAATAGCAAAAAATCAATACATCTGCTTTTAAAACCTTTATGATTAATTAATATTAAATACTGTTTTTATTTAATAAAAATTGCAATGTTAATATTTTTAATTACTTAGATTTCTTATACAAACTTGTAATATTTAAAGTATTTTTAATTTTAGAAACTATACTAAGTAAATAATACGTTAAGTATAAGAAAAAAGATTATTGTTTGTAATTAAATTTTGAATACAGGTGTTTCTTAATGAGCCCCCCAAAAATTCATTTTAATAAATTTTCTTATTTATTAAAATGTTTAATATATTATTTCGTTACTTAAATTTGTGTATTATATTTAAATTCGGTTTTAATAATATTTTTAATGAATCTAAAAAAAATAAATAAAAAGTAAAGTAATTAAAGAACATATATTATATTGTTTTGATTGTGAAAATTATTTCACTTCACTAATATTCATGAGTGCCTAATAAATTAAGATTTCTTTTATTTTCTTTTACTAATAACTATATTTATATATATATATATTGTAATAACTATATTTAGTTTCTTAAGTTTGCCAGCTATTTTTTTATTTTTTCAAATGTTATTTTATCTGATTTTTGTTTTTAATTAAATTAAAATTTGTACTTCAATGAACTTATCATAATTTCTTGCAGTGTTTGTGTTCTCTGTCTACATTTTCACTCTTTTTTTATATATTTCCAAGCCGAGTTTTTATTCTCGTTGCGTTTGCTTTGCCCTCGCTCTCCGTCTCTCTACGTCTCTTTGCTTCTCCATCTCTGCTTCTCCGTCTCTGTCTTCCCATCCTCCTTCTCCTCCTCCTTCCCACCTCATTCGTGTTCCCCGTTTTCGTATTCTCATCGAGTTCACTTAAAGTTTTGGATCACCGCGGAAACCTTCAGTTTCAGTTTTGCGTTTAATGCGAGCACAACAAGTCGGTGAATTTGAATTTTTAAATAATTTATAATTTCTGTTAAATCAGTTTCTTCACATCTTTATTATTTTGTGTTGTTTTTGTTTTTGTTTCTGTGGAATCACATTCGGTTTTTATTTGTTTTTGCTGTGACAATATCATTTTGATGGAACTGAAACTGGAACTATAATACATATTTTCTTTGATATATATTTCCTACAGACCCATTGATACAATCTAACCTTTGGGTTTCTCGGAAATTAATTGTGGTTTTTGTGGTTACCTTTTTTAATTGGTTTTGAGCTTTAATTATTGAATAATTTTGTTTAATTTAAATTCAACATTTATTTTACTTGATTTTAACAAGGAAAAATGTTTAAAAATCATATGATTAACTATATTATTGAATGATTTTGTTCAGTTTGAATTTAAAATTTATTTAACTTGTCCTTCATCATTTTACTTCAATTATTTTACTTTGTTTTTTAATATTGAAAAATTTTAGAAAATCATATGATAATAATAAATAGAATAATTTTATTTAGTTTTAATTCAAAATTTACTTAAGTGATTTTTCAATATAGTAAAATGTTAGAAAATAATATGATTAATGAAATAATGTGTTTTGTTACTGTATTGCATCCTAATACGGTGTTTTATTTTACTTAAAATTTAGCTATTTTGGAATGTTTTTTTTTTACCCTTAATAAATTTACTACCCTTTAACTGGAGTTTATATAAATAATATATAATATAAATATAAATAAGCATAACTTAAAATTTATTTTTTGTTATAATTGCAAGTGTTTTATTACTGTTAATGAATACCCTATGCTTAAACTTGAGTTTATATTTGTTTGAATTATTTTCGTATATTTAACATTTTTTTTTTTATACTTCATTAATTTCCTACCTTTAAACTAGAGGTTTTTTTAAATATTTTCTAGTTTATATTAAATGTGTTTTTTTGCCCTTAAAGAATTTCCTACACTTAAACTTGAGTTTCTTTTTGTTTGAAATATTTTAAAGTTTATATATAATGTGTTTTCTTATTCTTAATAAATATTAAACTAGAGTAGCTTTACTTTTCAATATTTTCCATTTAAATATTTTATATGTTTTCTTACCCTTAAAGAATTTCCTACCCTTAAACTCGTTTGACATATTTTCTTTTACAATAAATGTTGATTAATTGGTTATTATATATTTTAGTGTATTAAGATCTTGCTTTAAAAATGAATAGAATTTGTGAAATATTACTTAAATTACCTAAATAATTAAGGAGCTTCTTTAGATATATTTTTAAATATTTTATAATATTTTATTAATTAATAATTCCTGCTTAAAATATGTCTAGAGGTAGCTAATTTCTTCCAGAAGATTCCTAGACTTGACATTACTTCAGACCCATTACCCATTAACTTTTGCTGTACTTTTAATTATTATTATATAATTGTATTATTTCCTTTTCTCTTTCCAGTAAATTATGAAGCTCTATGCCCTGCTCTCACTTTTGGTGGGATCTTTGGCCATTGGCCAGATCTCAGCCGCCGGTTCACATCATCTTCTCTGCTATTACGATGGCAGCAGCTTTGTTCGCGAGGGTAAGTCCATTGCCTGATAACGATAAGCCTAGAATCGGGGTTATCGGGGAAGTACCTCTCCTTCCTCTACACGAAATACATATTAAAAATATATATAGAAAGTCTATAAAGATTATATATATAACGAACAATGAAGCCACCTCTCAATTAGATGATTTTCACTTTTCATAGGCTCATGCTAAAAGCATCAAATTGTTTTGTTGATAATTGGCAAAAAACGGGTCACAAGATCATCGGGCAGAGAGCTGTTACCGTGGCCAATTTAAGTAAATTGCAGTTTTGGGAGGGCGAAAAAAACCCCCACACACACTCAGTCTGGAAACTTAAACTAATTGAAATTGGCGTCGAGGGTATTGAATATCGGTGACTCAGGTTTCGCGGAGGTGCCACCTTCAAGGCGTTAATTGATGACGCAAACGCGGCTCAAGTTGAAATGTGTTTATTTTGTACGAGATTTGTTTGGAAATTAGCTTTAAATGCGACTTTAACTTGAAAAATTAACAATTTTAAGAAAAGAAAGAAAGATATTTGACATTGAGTATGAAAAATATTAACAAACAAGGCTTTATACAGCTTAGCTTCATCGTAAAACCTTGCTTTTCTATAAAAATTTAATGTTAAATTGTATGTAATTTCTCTCCTTGTTTATCCAGGACTCTCTAAGCTCATCCTGAGTGACCTGGAGCCCGCCTTGGCCTATTGCACCCACCTGATCTATGGTTATGCTGGCATTAATCCCTCCAGCAACAAGTTGGTGAGCAACAATGAGAAGTTGGATTTGGATTTGGGTAGCAGCCTGTTCCGTCAGGTCACCGGTTTGAAGCGGAAGTATCCTGCCCTGAAGGTCCTGCTGAGTGTGGGTGGTGACAAGGACATTGTGGATCCGGATAACAACAAGTATCTTACTCTCCTGGAGAGCAGCAATGCTCGGATTCCCTTCATCAATAGCGCCCATTCGCTGGTGAAAACCTATGGCTTTGATGGCCTCGATCTTGCCTGGCAATTCCCCAAGAATAAGGCCAAGAAGGTACATGGCGGCATTGGCAAATTCTGGAAGGGTTTCAAGAAAATCTTCACCGGTGATTTTGTCGTTGATGAAAAGGCCGAAGAGCATAAGGAAGAGTTTACGGCTTTGGTTCGTGAATTGAAGAATGCCTTCCGTCCGGATGGTTATCTTTTGGGAGTTAGTGTGCTGCCCAATGTTAATTCATCGCGTAGGTTTTTCTTTATATTTTCTAAACCCAAATGTCCCCTTCTCTAACTTTTGTTTATAATTTTCCTCCTTAGTCTTCTTCGATGTCCCTGCTATTATCAACAATTTGGACTATGTAAACTTGCACACTTATGATTTCCAAACCCCAGAACGTAACAACGAAGTGGCCGATTTCCCAGCTCCCATTTACGAGTTGAATGAACGCAATCCAGAGTCCAATATCAATTATCAGGTTAAATACTGGACCCAAAATCGTGCTCCTGCGGCCAAGATCAATGTGGGTATTGCCACCTATGGTCGTGCCTGGAAATTGACCAAGGATTCTGGCCTCACTGGTCTACCTCCAGTGGCGGAAGCCGATGGTGTGGCTCCTGCCGGAACTCAAACCCAAATTCCTGGCCTTCTCAGTTGGCCCGAAGTCTGTGCCAAGCTCCCGAATCCGGCTAATCAGCATCTCAAAGGAGCCGATGGTCCACTAAGGAAGGTTGGTGATCCCACCAAGCGTTTTGGCAGCTATGCCTATCGCTCTGCCGATGATAATGGTGATAATGGAGTCTGGACTGGTTACGAGGATCCCGATACGGCGGCCATCAAGGCGGAATATGTGAAACGTGAGGGTCTTGGTGGCATTGCTGTCGTTGATCTGAGCTTTGATGATTTCCGTGGAGGATGCACTGGACACGACAAGTATCCCATTTTGCGCAGTGTCAAGAGCAAGTTGTAGAGCCAGGAATGCACATATTCGAGACATTTTTAAGTCCTTCACTTATCTCTCACTTTTCTCACAGTGTTTTTTTGCCTACCTGTAAACGACAAAGCATAATCTGTTTAATCATTTAAAATGCAAATTAAAATAACATTGACACCAAAGGAGAGGGAGGTTTTATTTATTAATTGATATTATTAAGGGGTGGGGTTAAAGGTTATTGCATTAAACTGCACTAGAACTTGAGGTTTTTGCTATTTAAATTAGCTAATTTCTTAAGGATTTTTTATTAATTGGTTTTTGTATATAAATTTATAAAATTTGTACTTTAAAAAGTGTTTATAATGTATCTAAAAAGTATTTATAAAGTATATAAAAGTAAAAGGATATATTTCCTTTATCCTTAACTCAATTTAGGCAGTAACTTAGCTCTAAGTTAGGATCTAAAGGATCTTTATCAAATACTCTTTTTTCCTACATAATTTCTAGAATTTTTTTTTTCAGATTAAATCTGAATTCGTATCTCCTAATTATAAGATCATTCTTTCCCAAAACTTTACTTTTTATTACTAGTAAAAAATACCACTTTAAGCTCCATTTTTATTGTGTAATTTATGGCTCCTTTGAGCTCATTAACTGCATCACAGTGAGCCCTCGCTATGCGTATATACAATCGATTATTTGTCGCACATTAACTGCAATTGAGTGCAACAACTTCCAATTACTTGCCACACCCCCTTACAATGGCAAATAAACTGATTAGATGGCCAAATGAAGGCACTCATGTATGAATTTTGTCCTCTGCCTTTGGTCCTGTTCCACTTTTCTTTGCCTTTCAGGACATTTTCCAACACTGGACAAATTGTTGCAACATAAAAATCTTATAACAAACAAGAAATAAAAACATGCAAGTAATCATATTAAATCTTGTTTATTTAATTTCTAACTCTTATTGCTCACAAATAGAACTATGCTTTATTTATTTTGTAATTTATTTTTTATATAATTCTCTAACCTTTTCTCTCAGTGTCCTGGCTCTCAGATTCCATTGCTGGCTTGGGCACTGCGACTTCATTTTGCTGCTCCTTCCGGCGTTTCGTGTCAGCCTGTGGTCGCCGTCTGATTGTTTTATGTGCGGTGTTTGTGCCGGGCCTCCTCCACAGGATACCTCCTATTCTCCCAGCGGGGAGGGAAATCCTTTTGCATCCCCCTACCCCTCTTCCCTGGACCGATGCAGCTTCAACTGCAGTCATGTAGCAACAGTTTCCATTGCATTGTGGCCAATGGCTCATTCATCTTTGGGCGGTGGTCATGCTGTGACCACTTGAACCATTGCCGCTGACACCCACAGAGAGCGAAGGGGGATGCTGCTCCTCCTTGTCCAGGTCCTGCTCCTGCTCCCACTCCTGATATCCTGCTGGGTGGTGCCGCTGCATGTTGCCTTCGCTTGGATCACTTTATCATTTGCAAAATTGCAAAATGCAACCGCAAAAACCATAACCCGGGCGCTGGCAAAGTATATTTTAGAGCCCCGGCGATGGCTACTGCTCCCTGCTCTTAGTCCTAGTCCTAGTCCTGCTCCCTGGTCCCTGCTCCTGATCCTTCCCCTCACATCACGCATACGCACTGTCTGCTCACCGGGCAGGCCAGGAAGTGCCATTCCTCTGCCGCCTTCTCTCATCTGTAGCTCTTCTGGCTCCCTGGCTCCCTAGCTCCTGGCTCCTGGCTCCTGACTCCCCCTTGTTCCGGCCAACGAATTTGAGGCAAGGACTCTGGGTTGCCGTTGATTTAGTTCTCGGTTTTGTGAAAAGCGCATTGGATTTTCGGGAGGCTCAACATTGAAACAGAAAAGCACTGCAAGAAAAGGTAATGGGATATAAAAAAGATGGAAAAATGCATAATCAGGAGAGCTAGAGATATTAGAGATATTAATAATTAATAAATTAGATTACTAAACTAATTTTACTTCGTTAAAAAACCCCTATATACACTGACTTACATTTAATTTACATTTAACTTGTATTTCATTTTAATTTAGAAATGTCTTTACATAGGTTTCAAGGTTTCTAAACACACTAGAAATTTTTTAAGGACACTTGCATAAGTCCATTTGTTTTTCCTTAAAAAATGATTTTTTTAAGTTTCTTTTGTGCAAAATTTAGATTAAGAAATTGCTTTACATACCTTAAGACATATTTTTAAGGGTTTAAAAAAACACCAATAATTTTTAAAGGGACACTTACATAACTCCAATTGTTTTGGTTTAAAGAAATATCTTTCCAACTCTCTTTTGTGCTAAAATTAATCCATGAAATAGAAGATTAATTGTTTTATTGTAATTTTGTGAAGCCGAATATAACAAATGGAGAAATGGTATAACAAATTAAAACATAACTGAATAAATAAATTAGATATAATAAGAGAATTATTAAGAAAATAAAGTAAAGTATAAAGATTTCCTTAAAATTTGAATAAATTAATGACTAATAATGAATAAATTAGATATTTATTAAGAGAATAATTAATTGAAGTATTAATTTAGTCAAATAATTGTTATTCATTATTGGGAAGCTAACCAAATATACAAATAAATATCTGAGATATATATATATATAAGTATGACTTAAAGGACTGGAAGTAAGAATTTAGTCAAACAACTGCCTTTTATTATTAGGAAACTTACCAAATGTTTCAATAAATATATAAGCATATATTGTAATACATATATTTAATTTTAATTATTTTTCTACCTTTCTTATTTAACTAAATTATTACTTCAAATCCTCAATTTGGTCTAAGAATTTAAGTTCTTAAAGTAATAATTTAGTCAAATAATTGTTTTTCATTATTGGTTAGATAACTAAATATATAAATAAATATCTAAGCATATATTTTGGTAAATATATAGTATAATTTTTAAATATTTTCCTACCTTTCTTATTTAACTAAATTATTTTAAAGAATTTAAGGATTTAAAGTAATAATTTAGTCAAATTACTGAGCTTACCAAATAGTTCATTAAATATCTAAGCATATATTATTTTATATTATTATATATAATTTTTTATTTATTTATTTTTTTACCTTTCTTCCCCCTTAATTTTCCTCAGTGCACATTCAGTCTGCTGTTTGGGCATATCACTGGCAGCATAAATCTCGTGTCGGCACTGAGCAAGTGCCTCCTGGTTTGGGGTCTGACTCTGATCCTGCTGCTCCTGCTGCTCCAGCTGCTCCTCCTCCCCCTGCTCCTGCTCCTGCTCCTGTTCCTGTTCCTGCTCCTCCTGCTCCTCCTGTTCCTCCTCCTGTTCCTCCTCCTGCTCCTCCTTCTGCTCCTGCTGCTCATGTTCTGCGGTGACCGAGGTCCCACTTACATGGAGGACGAGGCAAAGCATGGGGGAGAAAGTATGATTTCTGGGCGAGGGAGCAGGGACTCCTTTAGCACACACACACACACATGCAATTAGTCAACCACAAAATAACAAGTTGCCGTGTAAAGTGCCACGCCCAGATTGCCACCGAATGGAGGAGGAGGAGGAGGAGGAGGAGGAGGATAGAGTTTGGTGTCCTGAAATAAACGAGGGGGGGTGGGGAGAGGATTGCCTAAGCTGCCGCGCATGAGATGTTAACAATTATCAAAGCAATTTGCCGAAAGGCGGCCTCCAAAAGCCATGCCCCATTTCCATAGCCATTTCCATTCCGAATTTTCCCCCCATTTCCTCCGTTTCGGAAAATCTCTCCTATCGGGACACGCACGCACACTTGGAACACTTGGATACCGGGAATGAAGTTCATAACAATTACTTGGGGCATAAATGCGGCACAGAAGATAAATTCGCATCCGGTAGATACATTCTGCAATTGCTGCAAATGACGCCATCGAAATTCGTTTGCTGAATCAGCTGGAAAGGTGCGACAAAGGGGGTGGGGGAGAGGGGCTATTTTATGTCCAAGATACGTGCAAATGCAGGACTAAGGACATCAACGGATTCAAGGATATCATGTGTGTGCGAGTGCGTGTCTGAGCATATGCAAATTGCCGAGAACCAATGGGGCAATCATACCGAATGGTTGATCCCTGCAGGATCCCATCCTTTTTTTCTTTGTTTTTTATTCGACCAAGTTAATGAATGCGGCGGGGATTAGTGAGTGAAGCTATGTATTTATGGAGGCGCAGAAAAAATAAATAAATATATAAATAAAGTTCATTAATGCATATAAAATCAAGTGCAGGACTTTAAAAGAGAGCTCAGCTACCTAATAAAAATAACAACTGTTTTTTAACATATTTATTGGTGGGTAAAATAAATAAATTAAGCTTGTAAATGAATAAAATTAAGTGGAGTGATGCAAAATGGTAAATAAGAAGGTTTTCTTAAATGGAAAAAAAAGGAAAGGTTGTTTGTGAATATTTATTTTTAATAAATAATGTTTCTCAAGTAAAAGTTATAATGAAATATAGAACTACTCGTAAAATATAGTTTTTATAAATATATAAAATTATATAAATAAGAAACTAAGGCTTAAATAAGCTAAGTTCATTAAGCAAAATGTTTTTCAGCTTAAAATAATATAGTTATGAATAAAAAACTTAAAGAAAAGCAGAAGTTCTAGCAATATTTTACTATTTCTTTCTATGACACCTATAAGTTAATTTAAGTGTTTAAAATATTATTCAAAAATCGTAAAACATAACATTAATTAAGATATATATCCTTTATTTTTTTATGAAAAATATCAAATGTATTTAAATGTTCATTATATTTTCCGCTTAATCCTAGGAAAGCTTTAAAATATACCCATAAAATCCTTACTAATTTTCCTTCAACTTTACTCAATATTTTTTTACCTTAAAAAATATCTAGTTAGTGTCCTATTTTTGTATTTTTGTAAGCTATGAAATATATAAACTATATATAAACCGCTTATTTTCAAGAAAGTTCTAAAATATACCCATCAAATCCTGTCTAATTTTCGCTTAGCTTCATTCAATATTTCTTAACCTTAAAAAATATTTCATAAGTATCCTGTTTTTTTAATTTTTAAACTTTGAAATGTATAAACTCAGCTTATTTCTAAGAAACCTCTCAAATATACCCATAAAATCCTGACTACTTTTCCTTTGCTTTACTCAATCGTTTTTCACCTAAAACTATACATGTATAAT